AGGATGGCAACAATAACTCATTACAACCAAAGTATGTAGAAGAGCATCTGTGAATGCACAAGATCTTGAAGCAGATGGACTACAGCAGCAGAAGACCACACCGGGTGCCACTCCTCTCAGTTAAGAACAGGAAACCGAGGCTACAGTTCATATGGGATCACCAAGATTGGATGATAGAAGACTGGCAATACGCTGCCTGGTCCGATTAGCTTCCATTTTCGGTATTTTGGTGTAAGCAACATGAAAGCATGGATCCACCCTGCCTTCTGTCAGTGTTTCATGCTACTTGGGGTGTAATGGTGTTGGGAAAGTTTTCTTGTTGCACTTTAGTTCCTTTAGCATCGTGTAGCATGTATTAAACCCCACAGCCTGAATATTATTGCTGGGGTGGCTGTAGCTCAGGTGGCAGAGCAGGTCAGCCACTAATCAGAAGGTCGGTGGTTCGACCAGGCTTCCTCCTGGCCCAAAGAATATCCTTGGGCAAGATACTAACTCCATGTTTGCCTAGTGGTGGTGGTCAGAGGGCCCGGTGGCGCCAGTGTCCGGCAGCCTCGCCTCCGTCAGTGCGCCCCAGGGCAGCTGTGGCTACAATGTAGCTTGCCATTGCCTGTGTGTGAATGGGTGAATGACTGAATGTAGTGTAAAGCTTTGGGGTCCTTAGGGACTGAGTAAAGCGCTATACAAATGCAGGCCATTTACCATTTACCATTGCTGACTCTGCCCATCCCTACATGAGCACAGTGTACCCATTTTCAGATAACTGCTTCCAGCAGGATACCACCATGCCATGAAGCTCTAATCATCTCAAACTGATTTCTTGAACCTAACAATGGGTTCACTCAGACTTCACAGTCACCAGATCTCAATTCCAGGGAGAACCTTTGGGATGTGACTGGAACATAAGATTTTTACCATGGCCGTATAGCTAAGAAATCTTCAGATATTATGCAATGCTATCATGTTAATATGGTCAAAAATCTCTGAAGAATGTTTCCAGCAACTTATTGAATCTGCTATGAAGAATTAAGGTAGTTCTGAAAGCCAAAGGGGTCCAACCGAGTACTAGAACTGTGTACCTAATAAAGTGGCTGCTGCATGTAAATTAAACTCCTTAATGCCTTTTTGCTTGCTGTACTTCTCCAATCTCAATATATTTAATAACTTGTACAAAGACACCCACACACACAAACACACACACACACAAAACATGTATCTGTCCATGTAATAAGGCAAAATAAGGTAGGTAAACCTCACCATAGTGCCTTAGCAAAAGGAATCAGTCCACCGCAGAGCAGTGAGTGTGAGATGATGCAAGGCTAAGACATAAGGTTTTAATTTGAAAGTTATTTTAAAGATGAAAGTAATGCAGTTTTCAGAGTCTGTGTTGATTCTGTTCTTGTTATTGTAGGCACAGACCCATCCCAACCTGCAGGAAGCCAACAGCCTGAAAACGGACTCAAGCTGAGCCGTAGACCTAATGGTAACCTTTAACAGTTCTCGCAAAGGCTTCCGTTTTTTAACAGGAAAATCTTTATAGTCAGTGGATTTAAAAACTAAGAAGTACCTCGTGTTTTCTGATATTTTTAATATACATACTGTGAACATAAATGCCTTTGAGTCAATGAATGCACAAAAAAAGAATTTAGACAAACTTCAAACAGCTACTCTGCTTCAGACAGATTGACCTCTAAGTTGCCTGCAGAATGTGTACAGTAACTTCAGCACTTTATTTTTGGTTCCAGGATGTAAAGTCTGTAACTTGGCAGAGTTGAAGAAAGTGCAGGTGGTAAACTAGCATGAGTTGAAGAAGAAAAGAACTGGCAAGGTCACCGCTGACCCCACACACCTTAGCAGAGTTCTTGTCACCAAACCGGCATCTCAAAGTCAGCGCAGGTCATTCGTCACCTGCACTACGTGGAATCTCTTCAGCTTCTTTCCTGAGTCTATCCACCTTCATCTGCCTGCAGCTACAAAATAAAGCAAAACTTATTGGGTAGGTGTAGTGGGGCCAGTGCACTCCCAAAGGAAATCTTGGTTTCATCAGACCAGAGAATTTTGTTTCTCACTGTCCGAAAGTCCTTTAGGGGCTTTTTCTCCAAGCAGGTTTTCATTCTCCTCAGTCTATCACCGAGGAGAGGCTTTTGTCTGGCAAATCTGCCATAAAAGGCCCAGACTGGTAAAGCCTACAATTATGATTGCATTTCTGGAAGTTTTTCTCCCATCTCCAAGCAGGATCTCTAGAGCTCAGGCAGAATGACCAAGTTCCTGGTCCCATCATTTATTAAGGTACTTCTCCAACATTTGCAGGCAACCGGTTTCGAGGAACTTATATTTAAGAAATGTGAAGGCTACTGTAGTCTTGGTAACCTTCAGCGTGACCTATTTTTGTAGCCCTCCTCATATCTGTGCCTCTACACGTAAGTCCAGCAGGACTCATGGGTTAGATATTGTGTGCAGACAAGTTTCTCTTTCAAACTTTCCAATGTTTGACTTAATTCAAGGTCTAGAAACATCTCAAGGTTTGCTTTTAGTTTTATTATGCATCGTCTACGCAACAACTGTAAGATCCTTAGTTTGTGTGTTGCACAGGTAATAAGATAAGATGAGATAAGATAAGATAAGATAAGATAAGATAAGATAAGATAAGATAAGATAAGATAAGATAAGATAAGATAAGATAAGATACCTTTATTAGTCCCACAAGGGGAAATTTCATGTGGTTAAAGTTACCTTTAGTCTTACCTGTTATAGGCTATGGGCTACATAAATTCCCCAGTTCGCTATGCTTTTTAAAGAAGATGATAAAGTAAGTCTTTTCATCCACAGCCTAAACTAAGCTATCATTTGCAAGCACGAATTACAACTATCTAAAGTGTCAGCTTTAACAAATTCACTTGCAGAGATCAGATGATTCCACTTTCAAGTATTTTCTTAGTAGGAATTTTCTGCAGCGTAATTAGTTTCAAAAAAACTTGCACCTTCAGCGAGGCCTGAGGAGCAGCTCGAGATCAGTGCTTGTGAATTGGTGAGCTACGGAATAAATGGAAACGCCGCGCTTGATAGCGGAACGATGTCAGCTTCTATAACGATGAGCAAATAATCGCCATCTTTGCTCGAAAAGAACTCTTCCAGGATACTGAGAATTTTTTGCTATTCACCATCACAAATTGTGTTTTTCTCATTTTAGCAAGAATTTCTCCCGTCTCACTTCTCATCAGGTTTTATTGTGATGAACACAAAAGAGAAATGGGGGGGAGGGGGGGGGCTGATGCTTAAGAAACAGTCCACTACATTTTAGCTGCTCAAGTACTGACAAATACATGAAATCATTTCTCCCTGCAATTTTTAAGGATTCACAGACTTTAATGTGAAAAAAATGGTAGTCATTAATGTGTCCCTAGTTGTATCATATACTAAAATGATGCAAGAGGCCACCATGCTGTTATTCTGTCTTACTGAGTACTATTAAAAATGTGTATTTTCCATAATATATATTTGTATTTTCTATCTGTGGAGCATTTCAGTGAAATAATGTGAACTGCATGGATTTCCAGCCAATGGTGGGCTCCAAATATATTAGGTATACCTTTACAATGTTCATCATTATAAAGGTATACTAACCCAACAGTTGTATTTTGACAGCAAACACCACACCGTCTTTGGAAAAATTGTACTTATGCTTATTCCTAGATGACAGTAGTTGCAGTGAGCTTGAATTTACTTAGTGTAAGTAACACTGGATTTTATTGCTGACCCAGTTTCATGGCAAAAACATGTCAAAACTACTTTTAGACCCAGTCTTACAGCGTGATCCAGTTCTCAGTAAACGCCACTGTGTTGCCAGACTCCTAATCCATCCATCCATTGGAAGCATAGTGTTTTTCCCCCCTGAGATGACTGTTAGATCAGCACATAACGATAAATCGCAAGTCATTATTTTCTTTGAATGTGAAATCCTAATCACTAAAGTCAAGGAAAGCTGCAATATTAACATATATCAGTTCTTCTTCTTCTGCTTATTCAGTTCAAGACTGTGAGGCTGCCACAGGTGCTGATGTGGGGGGTACACCCTGGACAGAACACCAGCCTGTTACAGGGCTAAAACACAGACAGAAAACTCTTGTACTCACATTCACAAGTAATTTCTAATCACCATTTAACAGAAAAACTAAATGCATGTCTTTGGTAGGACACAGGAGCTTCTGGAGAGAACCTATGCAGAGATGGGGCCCTGCCCAGATGATGGACTGTGCCACCATTATGCTCGGGTTATCATCATAGAAAAGTAAAATATCGTCCCCCTGAAATGTGCCCAAGGACATAAGCACCATAATAAACTTGTAAAGTGTAAAATAAATTGCTCCTCATCTAGTGATGATAGCGTTAGCTTAGATGGAAATTTTAAAGTATTTCTAGATCTGGGGAAGTTGTTTAAAAGACTGTTGCTGTTTTGAATCTTTCACTTACAAAAACTCTACTTAGTAGTTAGTTTGGTGCTTTTCCCCACTGTGTTGGTATGTAATGTTGTTAAATTGTTATGTAATGTCAACATTCTTTACAAAAGTGTAAAAACCAGCTATACATTTTAGAAGTTGCATCGCCTGTTTGGTAAAGCGTCTCCCTCGCTGACCCGCTTGTGATCTGTGTTGCTAAATGTAGCTCCTGAACTAAAGTGAGGCCCCTGCTTCAGGGTTTATTTGAACAATTTAGAGCTGTCAATGCACAATATGCACAATGATGGGCTCATAGCTCAGATGACAGCTTAACATTAACACTGAGATTTTTTTTAAACATTTGATAATGAGGGTATACACTTGGCTCCAGCTTCTCACAGTGGTGGGAAACATCCCAGTCCCAGCAGCTCTTCTAGCTGGCCATCAAGCGGTCAGAATGCGTAGTGCAGCTTTGGAGCGCAGCATCCCAGGTCTCCTCTCTGCCCCCCTCCCTCCCTCCCTCTCTCGCTTTCGCTCCCGTCGTCGTCGGCAGCTGTGTGTGCGTGCGTGCCCGCGCGCGCGTAGAATCCTACAGCACGCCGGGACTGCGTTTCCTAAGAAAAGCTCAGCTCTCAGTTTTGTGCCCGTCTTATTGCCGCTCTCATTGTCTTTGTCGGCAGTGATAAAGAGAGCAGGTACCATCTGTCCATTCCGCCAATTTATTGCGAGTTGCCTTTTTTTTATTGTTTGCTCTCCTTCACAGATGTTAGGTCAACACTTTTTGGGTGGTGGTGGTGGTGTTGGTGTTGGGGAGGGGGGGGACTCCTGGTTCTAACGGAATTTGTTGTGGCTTCTTCTTCTTCTTCTTCTTCCTTTTTTCGGTCTCTTCTCTCTTTCAGTTCATTCGGGGGCCTGTTTTTGGAATAAGAAAAAGGCATTGCTGTTTTCTGACTTTGAGTGAAGAAAGAAGGGACTCCTCTGGAATTTCCTAAGGAATTTATTCGGACAGCCCACGGTAAGTGGAGATTTTTGTACACAGAGATATGTATATACATATACATATACATATATTTTTTTAAAAAAAGGCTTCACGTTTGAGAAGACACCCAGCTATCCATTACTAAGTTGGTCTCTTTGAATGAAAAATAACAACACGAAGCGCATCCCTCATTTTTTTATTTTCCTTTTTTATCTACAGTTGCGAGGGCTTTGCATTCTTCCGCCTGGGTATAGAGTAAGTAGTACTTTTTCTTTTCGTATTCTGTCAATTGCAGCCGAGAGCGGCTCGTCATGTTTTCCATGTGTGGAATAAAGTGTCGTTTTTTTCTGTGTCCGCTCCAAGTTCTGTGTCGTGCCGCGATGTGAGTAGGAGCCCGGGTGTTTTTTTTTTTTATTTCATTTTTTGCATATCTTTGCTTTGGAGGGATGTTGTGGAGAATGTGGCGCAAACGCAACGTGCACCGGGCTGCCGCTCGCTGTTACACTCCAGATGGCGGCGAGATATTTCACAGAATTTATATCGTCAACATTTATAACACGTACTGCACTCACACGGACACACAAAATAGAAATAGAGAGAGAGACAGGGGGAGAGAGCCATCTTTGCCCCGAACGATGCTCTGCCCTCTCCGGAGGATGCGCGGGCACGCATAAACAAGCTGGAAATGTGTGCGTGTGTGTTAAGGGGGGTTATTCTGTGCCATAGTTGTGGGACGTGTTGAGAAAGTTTGGTGTAATGTTTGCTTCTGCAAACTGAGACGATTTGCTTAGTCTATGTATGAATGCATGCGTGCGTGCGTGTGTGCGCGCGCGTTGATGCGAGCCCAAGAGCTCCTGACTCAGGTGGTGTAGCCGGTGGGTGGGCTGTGACTCACCCAGTTTACCCATTTTGCTGCTGTTATCTGACAGGCTTTGATGCCAGATTTGACTGGTGACTGACAGTGGCTCATGCGCAGTAGTGTGTCAGCACATGCCTGTGTTTTTTGTTTTGTTTTTTTGTTTTGTTTTTTTGTTTTGTTTTTTTATTTCCTCCCTCCATCACTGCCTGATTTGGGCGTTCCATAATTTATGCGATCCCTTCCCTGCGTTAAAGAGTTTTCCTTTTTTTCAGACTACTACTGACAAGTGATTCATATATAGCCAATTACCCGTGATTTGCACTCATACTTTGCAGCCCGAGGGAAAAAAAAAAGAAAAGTGGAAAGCCTCTAAAAGGCAAGATAATGAAGTGAAAAGTTTGTGGTTCCTCGGTATTTTGTAGCAAAGAGAAGCATTCGCAAATGAGGGCAAGGACAGCCAGTCAGAGAGATGTGTCTTTGCTGGCTAGTGTAGAGTGACAGGGGGCTAAGTGAGCATGACCATCAAGGAGAGGTAATAGCATTACGGTCTGCCAGTCATGAGGCAGTGCAAGAGATACTGTTGCATTTCAAAAGGAACTAAATGGGTAAGCAGAGGAAACTGTGACACAGGGTCCACTAAAATTTAACGCATAAAAAGGCGCTAATGTGGCTCAGCAACACAGTTTCTATTCATGCAGATGAGTTTGTCTTAATATTAAGCTGCTTTATTGAAAAAAGACTTTAATCATCCTAGTTTGGAATGTAATTAAGGGTTGCTTATCATTATTTTAATCCCTAATGATCTGTCAGTTTAAATATTTGTGTCTTTCTTTCTTAAACCAGTTCAAATTAGAAGGTAATCATGTATTATCATTAAAAAAAAATCTCTAGTAGCAGTAATTATATGAAGGTAATAACGTTGCCAAATCTAGAAGGAACATCAGGTGAAGTGCTCACACCCTCTTTAGATGACCAGCTAATTGCAATATGGGAAAAAGTAATGCTGAAAGTCAGTGGTCACGCAGCTCAGGTGTCCCTGTGAGTAAACACACGTTTGAGCATAAAGCGGATTTGAATCATTTGCTGCAAAGCTTTCCACAGATTAGTCCTAGGTAAGAATGCCCCCTCCCTCCCTCCTCCCTCGCCATCATCTACCCAGCAGCGCTCCCACTTTATAAACTGGAAACATTCCGCTGCTTTTCCTCCATCTTGCCTTTGAGTGATGCTCCCAGACCCACTCGCCAAGCCCACATCAATCACTGCTGGATGGGATTTAAGCTGTGGCCGGAAATCATAAGCAGGAAAAAGACAGGTGGGCTTGCTCACAGTTGCTCAAGCTTCCTCCACGGTGACCCCCCCTCTAGATCAGCATCCAGCGTTGCCAGCTACAGAGCTGCACTTCTGCAGATCCTTTTTCTCATTAATTATGCCCTAACATAGTTTGCTCTAGTGTGACCGTGTTGACAACACACCCACTTTTCCTTTTGCCTGCTTGCACGTCCCTGGAGAGAATCAGGAATAAACTGTAATTATGGTTTATAAACTTCATCCAGGTGACATAATCAGGGCATGGCTGAGACAGCAAGGGGCTGTCATAACAGCTGCTAATACATGTATAGCTGTTTTTCCTTTCATTCCTCAGACTGTCTAACTGTACTGACACGTGTTTGTCACATGGATGCGCCGCAAACAAGCAAAACTACAGCATTCGTGTAGGTATATATGGATTTTTAAAGAAAACGGGCACACACAGTATTGTGAAAGTGCAAACACTGGCTAGTTCTCAGCAAAAAAAAAAGAAAAAAAAGTGGGCTCAGTACATCTATGGAAACGTAGTGTCTATATTGTCTTCGTGCGCTTGCTGTTAGGAGCACCTTGATTGCGGTCCAAGGCTCGGCAAGCCGAATGCCCGGCTCCCAGGGGCCGTTTTATAATGAGGATGCACTGTCAGATAATTAGATACACCTGGCGCAGGCGTTTTCAGGAAATTTTGATTCATCCCAAAATAAAATGCCTGCGCCTGCCAACATGAAAGCAAGCACAAAAAAAAAAAAAAAAAAATCCCGCTGTCACATTGCCTCTCCTCTCATGGTGGCAATGTTTTATTTATTTATCTGCATCTTAATGCTCTTGGATGAGGCAGGCTTCATTTTGTGCTAGCTGATGCATGGGCTGCCAAAGTTTCACGTCTCTTGCAGAGCGAGCTTCTCACTCACGAGGGTGTCGCTGTCCCTTCATGGACACAGCCTCTCCGAAACTGGATGTTCTGATGCCGTCACATTTAACAACTCCCTTGGCTACTTGGCACAAAATGCATCTCATTGAGATTCGCATGCGGCCACATGACAATACAAACCCATTCCCCGCGTGGATGTGCGCGAATATGCGCGTCACACAGCCTCAGATGTGGTTTGTCACATGACTGTTAATAAGAACAGGATGATATTTATCCCCCCCTCCCTCCCCGACAGTGCGTGTATTGACCTTTTGCGCTTCCTTGATGATATTTCAATACGTACGTGAAATATTAGAGATTTTAGAATTTGATAGATGCAACTAATCAGTTATTTCATGCACACGCTGGAAGAATTGAATGATGAGTGGAATTCACTTTAGCAAGCTGGCACACTCGCACACATTTATTCGCAGGCCCAATGCACACAAGTACAACCTTAAATGTTTCGTCTCTTCTTAGCTGTTGATTAGAAAACGCTCCGTGAGATGAAACCCTCTCACCTGTGCTGTTTATTTATCAGACACCGGGCTCCAGTCATAAATCAGACACTCATTAAGTTGTTAAACAACAACTTTTGCCTCGTGCAGGAGATGTCAGTGCTATTAAGTCTGATGTATGTGATACAGTAGGAAGGTGAGCCGTTGCAGATTGCTCATGTTATCCAATTAAGAGAGGTTTATTAATCCTTTTTTTTCTTCACGCTGGTCACATTTTAATTTAAAAGCCCAGCGTTGATATTGAAGTTAATGTTAAACAATCATAAAAACACAAAAAAAGGCATTACAAGTGATCAGGATAGACTGATGTTATATCAGTGGCACAGATGAAATGTACTTTTTTGCCATCTGATAGCTGGGTAACCACATGTCAAGTCTTATCTGAGAGCAATCAATATTTGCCTTCTCCAGGTTAGAGCCCAGTAAGCCTTGATTAATGACTACAAGTTTGCATCACAACAAAACTAACAAGCCAACAAAAAACATTGAGTCTGGAGTCTACAAGGGAATGTACAGAATGATACAGATTCCTGGCAAAATTACGTATTATTGTGAAGTTACTGTAAAGTTTCAAAAGATGCCCTTGGCCTGTGCAAGACCTGTTCTTGGTTATACAACATGTTTTTGTGTGTGTGTGTGTTTGCACTAGCGGCAGCTTTCTGGTGCATGGTCATGTATTGTAATGTTTTTCCAACTTCGCACCCTGAACCAGACTGTAAAGATGTGTAAGAGGAAAAAGGAAGAAAACTGTTAAATGGACAGTGTTGTTAGATGAAATGTGCTGTTAGCTAGCATTAGCCATCATAACCTGCTTATTATACTGCTCGTAAACAAGGAAGACTGTAGCAAATCGCTTCGAGTAATAAACTGAGAAAAAGAATATCATGTTGTATTATGGAGACTGTAAAGTTAGCATAAGTGCTCCTAGTGTTAGCTGTCGAAGAAATAAGATA